TGATTTTTTTTAATATTGTCTCAGGCATATGAGGAAAAAAGAGCTTCAATGTTTTGATAAAATAAAACTACTGAACCTACCTATATATTACCAAATAACATTTTATTTTTCAATTCAGATAACTAACAGTACTTACAGCAGTTGTGAATAAGTCATCTACGAACAAAGGCCAAGAAACATAAAAGTCAGTGTTTTTGTTTCAATAAAGTTCAACGTGTTCGTAACCTTATCAAATTTCTATTACCATTCTAATGTTGTTAATGCTCACTGCACTAGATTTATTACGACTCGGAGTGATTAGCACTTCGATCATCGTAATACCATAAACGTTGAGATATACTAATGGCGCATTAAGAGAGCCATAAAGCGTTATTTCCACATGAGTTTTTAGACCCGATCTGACCTGCTTCTGTCAATCACAGATCTGGTTTCGTAATGTGGATGAATAAATTCATAGTTATCTTGATCGTTAGCTAAAGAAGTATACGTAAATCTAAAAATTGTTGTAAGTTCAAAAACTGTTTGAAGTTAAGCGGCTACTGAAGTCCCCGGACGTCACTAGGAAACAAAAACTCAATTATCTTGCAATACTGTTTGACTTAGCCTTGAAAAAGGAAAGCATGATTGTTTCATGGTAGAAATGAATTAAAAGATAGCTACATGTGTAGACTAACAAAGTACACCCACTATGCATACTAGACTTTAGGCAAAGAATAAGGGAGCAGTAACTCGAGACTAAAGCATTTTAGTATCTTCTAATAACCTAATAATAGTACGGATTATTTTCATTAAAATCTTCAGCAAATATTTCATCCCCCACTGCAAAAATATATCTGCGCTACCTCTATGGAATATATGTAGATAGAACTGTTAACACACCGGGCTGAGCTATTGACCATGAATGTTTCAAAATGGTCGCTTTTTTAAAGTCTAGAAATCAATTATTGTATTCAATTTAAAATACGCCGTTTGATAACTCTAAACATTTCGCATGTTAGGCTAATTGGCTGTGTAATTATTATTACATGTATATGTATATTGAAATTGTTAATTTTTGGCTTGAAAATTGGGAAAAAACACCCTTTTTTTGTAAATAACTCGATAACTCATTTTCTGAACAAAAAAAATATGCTTACTACATTTTATTCCCGTGTCAACGACTTGACAAGGCCACCCGGAAAAATGTACACGTAACGATATATGTATTATTCTCCCCAATTAAAACTCGTTTTAACTGATTGCGGACTTTCGATTTGAGGTCGTTGATAAGAAAAAAATGTATCGTATTTCCGGGTAGGGCAAAAAGAATTAAAGCACTGTCTTGCTCTGTTGTATCAAATATTCATGTCAAGCGAGTTTTATAAAATATCTGGAAAAACCTATTTTCACAAATGAACCAAATTTTATTTTCAACTCACCGAATAATGAAATTTCAGTTTTATTATCATTTGCAATATGTATCTGATTGAATATAATAGGTGATTTGAAATGTTCAATGTCAAAATTAGTAACAGGATTGTTACAAAAAAAAAAACAGTATTCCATAATGTTGTTTATTTTAAAATATGATTTGTAACATTCCGACTAAAAAGAAATTTACTGTATTATATATTATATCGTTTACCGTGGAACGACACCTTTAATTCGGTATTTGCGCTTAAACAAAGACCTTTAGTGACAAGCTTGTGGACGTTTGCTAATTACATTCAAAGTACTGACTACATTACATGTTGATTATATTATCGTTTGTTATAAATCGATTAATTGACTGTTAGCACGCGATCTAAGCACGACGTATTTCAATATAAGGTGGATTAATATAATTATAGAAGAAAAAAAATTTTATTGTCAACTGTTTTTAGCTTAATATCGTGTTGAAAATTAAAGTTTATCTATTATTATTAAAACGGTTTCATAAATATTATATAACATAACACGAAAAAATGACATCGGAGAAAATAACAGACTTCTTATCACCAATGGATGCTATTTTTTTTTATGATTGAAAGGGTGGGATTTTCTAACAACTGCCCGAGCGCCTCCGAAGGAGCCCTAATAACTCAAGAGCAATTTCTTCGCGAATTAACCTACTACCGGATCCAGCGAGAAGATCCAGCGAGAAACTCAACGGGCTGATGCATGGGTTAGATGGCACGTCGACCTATTTGTCGAGTTCGACGAGTACGGTTACCGGGGTCCCTAAGCCCGCTCCTAATGTTAGAGATGAAGGCGCCTAATGCAAAGGTTATTGGATCTGATGAATCAGTAAGGACTTGTCTAGGGCGTCGACGGTGACTAACGGATGCTGAAGAACTTGTGACCTACTAATATAACTAAGTAGTGTTCATTACTCTCCAAGGACGGAGTAATGTTGGCAGGAACATAACACAGCAACAATACAATATCTATATTAACTCTTTATAAAGAAGCCTTATAGCCCGGAAGAGTGCGAGATAATTCATTTTACGAATGTAAGTTAGATGATTAAAAGATTTCATCTGGAAATTTACTAAAGTAAAGAAAAATGAGTCGCTCTAGCTAGAGAGTGTATTCTTCTTACTTTTTTTGGAATACTCCTAATGGTAGAGATTGAAGAACGTATAGATATATGTATTCCCAAACGTTATATTTCACATGTGTGACAGCATCCATGTTGGGATACCTGTGGACTTGGATCCGTCGGTCGTAGGCTCAGTACGTCAAAGGAATTTAAAAAAACCCATTTTATGGAACCAAAAAAAGTAATATTCACATAACGTCAATTTCAAGATGACATCAACTGTTTGCTGTTGTATGTGTGAATTTGTTACTTTTTTTTATCATTACCTTTATGTCACAACTCGTTGATGATACAGTAATAACGAAATCTATGAGCAAATCGAGTTCATAGCCCGGTTTTTTTGCTAGGAAACCTCATCTAATGATTCATTAGATGTGTAATACAAATAATCGTTGTTGAGAAACATTTGAGAAAAATATTTGCAATGTTTGTATAAGCACAAAAAAAAGCAAATAACTTAATACTTTCAAATGTTGTGTTATGTCTGACAGGTAAACATTTATAAAACGCCATTAAGATGTTACTAACATTTTTATCACTACATGTAATTTATCAACATAAGAGATCGCGCTAGATCTTCATTATATTATTATAGAAAGAAGAAATCTTTCTTTTTCAAGTTACATATATCTGTTATTGTTATTAAGTATTATTTCGTGGTGTTCGACTGAGAATCGTGTCAGCATAAATGGATTGACCTCCTCTTCGAATTACAAATTAAATATATGATATATAATAGAATAAATTATCGGTAGAAGAGTGGCCATTTTTGACCAACTTGTATCAAACCAAGCAACGGAATTTGCATTACGATGTTAAAGGCTCCGATAACAACTTAAAATTAAATACAAGACGTGACAAGATCGGCGACAACCACTTCTTGCATTTTACAAAATGAAATTAGTGACAATATATTATTCCATAATTTCGAGAATTTTACACTTTTCTGTACTTGTTTTTCCTACCTAAACTCCATAGCCTTGAGAACCTATGTCAGCGTAACCTATCAAGTAGGTGAGCTCACGGGGCTCAAACCTGACGACGTTGCTAACACTAACCCCAGCAAGAGCAGTGCTTTGCAGAATCTACCAAGGGATCGGAAACGCGACCTACTGAGAAGATGCGGCGAGAAACTCAGTAGGCTGTCTCTGAGTTTCTTTTCAAATATGGGCAAAATCAGAATTGAGTATATCAGGTGTGAAAGTAACCACAGATAAGGTGGAGACAAAGCATAAGATTACGTGTGAATCAATTTTACATCCTATTATATCAAGTCACAGATATGTTTATATCTTTTAACAAAAGTGAGTTATCGGTGACGACAAATTAGATACTTTATACATTTACCTATTCATAAATAATTCGAAATATTTTTTGGATTATCATCTGCATGATCGTTTTATTCGTATGTTATTTGAATTCGGGAGATCATGCTTCCTTTGTTACACTCATATATGTATCATATAGTACCGTATAGTATATATAGTACCGTAAATTTTGAATTGTATATGCTTCAATCGCTTTATTCATCATTAACATAGAACCTCATTCCAATACCGGGTCTTTTCCCGTTAACACAATAATAATAAGCCCGCCCTATATTAAATCTACTTCACATTCTCCCTAGTTATATTTTGTATGATCAGTATAATCAATCTATTAACTTTAAAAAAACTTAATTATCAGGAAGTGTGAATTAATTAATGGAAGCGACGTTTATGTTCACACATTACCAAGTCCACATTCAGTGACATCAAATTCTATCTGCTACATACATATGTGCTTTTTGACAGTTTTTTTTTTATAATGTAAATTGTGTTGGTGTGCAATAAAGTGTATTCTCTCTCTCTCTCTCTCTCTCTCTCTATCTATCGTAAACATAATATAATATCTACTCGCACTTTCTAAAACTTAACAAACATTAAATACAGATTATACTGACAACACACTATACAAACTTAACACGGCAAAATAACTTTTAGATTACGAACTCATTTGAATATTTAAATGAGATTATATGCACATACTTATGAACATTTGTATTATTTAATCCGTATTACGGCGACAAATTCGCGTAAATAAACCTCAAGGTTGTCCCAATCCCAATAGGCCTGCCACAAATAAAAGAAGAATAATAAACAAGACAAGCGCAGAATCTTAATTATATTACGGAAATCCAAATGTGTTCATTAGGTACACCGATAATAAACAAATAAATTTATAAAAGACAAACTCAATTTAACGGAATTCAGACAATAATTACGAGAAACTCAGGCGAAACTATTGTCAATAAAGTAATTAAATTACAATTGTTTCACAAATTTAATGTTATAAACTCACGCAGGCTGTGTTTTGATTAGCAATAAAAACATATTATATTCGAAGAAGAATTAAAAAAATGGTTTTTATTTTCACAAATTCAAAATAATTTGTAATTTACCTTGTTCTACGATTACACGAAACAAGAGTCCACAGATAAAATATAACTGTCACGTTTCAATTTCAATAACACATGAAAACTTTTTTTAATAATGGCGGGTTAATTTTGTTTGTTATGGCGGCAAGACATGACATGCGCACACGCCGCCGTACTCGCGCGCGACCACTACTGACTGAATGAAGTTGAAACTTGAAGTGGCCATTCCCTTTACTCGACAGACCTCAGCTGTCACTATGGACACTCTAGAATAAATCAATGTAAACTTCCGATGATGTATGTGTTCCGGTTGGATTTTCATTGGGTATTGTGTGTTGGTAAAAAGAAATACGGTTTTGTGTTTAACTTTTCAGAATTCGATCATTATCATTTGGTCTGAATCCTGATTCATTTCTCGGTATGTAAACGGCAAATAGAAGGAACTGACGGTAATCCCCGTCTAAGGTCTCTTCGGCCGGGCGATGTTTGTCGATGCTATGATAAAAGTTTCTCAGAGTAAATTATCTTTTTAGTAATTTTAATCAAATCAATCATTACCAAAATTTCGAAGATGTAGTTAAGGACTACATTTAATAATCATTTTTCGGGCTAAAACATTGCACATTACCTTTATTATACTAGAAAATATTCAATTTTCTACTGCAATATTCATTTCGAATATTACAATTGTCTTGATGTTATTCCATCAATAAATAATAATTATATTAATGCAATTTTAAAATCTACAATATAAGAGTACACTGCAATTTACATAATTATATTTGTTGTCTTTATTCTAGTTCATACAACGGTTGTCTAGTACTAATCGTATTAAACTATAGGTACTGATACAATTTTGGATATGTTCTTTTTATGAATTACTTTGGTGTACCTACAACTAAACATGCTCTATCTCTATTATGTCTAAATAACTATGATTTTATTTGCACTCTATTACAATCATATTGTTTTACATTATTTACGTAAGCTTTTTTGTAGGGTTGCCGTTTTATCAAAATTTAATTTCACGGATGGATATTTTTCCTTACGTAAAATTTTTAATAGCCACGATTTGAGATTTGTGTAAGTTGTTGTCGTTCCCATATGAGTATAGATCAACTATCAAGTAATAGATTTGAAAATAGAATTGAAGCTTCGATCTGATGACCCAAGATGGGTACATTTACATCGTGATAATTACTATAGACTCTAGTTAATACTAATATAAAAGTAAATTAAAAAGTACATAACAGATAGGTCGGAGCTTGCCTCCTTTCGCCTCATTGGTGTTACTTAATGACAGTAATGACTCTAGACAGTAAGTAAATTAAAACTTTACAACACAATTCCGTCAGTCTACTTTGATTACAAAATGTTGGACAAGGTCTGGTTGTTGGATTCTTTCGGATTTTTTTTTAATTTGATTGAACCCTAATTTGGGGCTACAATTTTTTTTTCTTGTTGGTTTCTATCAGTTTTAATACTTTAGGAGATAGAACATCTCATGATCGTCAGTCTTGACTCTAGTTTTTTTTTCATTCTTACTCGTTGGTAAACTAAAGAGTCAATTCCAGCTACGCGAACGCCTATGGTAGACGGGTAGGTCCTAGTCCTAGCAAGAGCAGTGCTTCACAGAATCTACCACCGGACCAGAATCACGACCCACTGAGAAGATCCGTCGAAAAACTGAGTGGGTTAGACTCTAATTGAGGCTGTCAGCGCAAAGGTGGCCTAAGTCTACCCTAATGTAGAGATAATAAGGTATGAATTTACTTTTGCACTGCTTCGTGGACAAAAATAATACGTGCAAAAATAATGTTTACAAAGCCATCTGTTATCTATGGGTGATACTAGGGATAGGCCGCTTTTGCATCAACATTTATTACTTACATTTTAAATAAATTGCAATATATAAGCACGAATATGAAAAATTGTCGGTTAGGTCACTTTTGCGCTGACGGCCTCAATTATCTTTGTGGATAGCCATTCGAGGTTTGGCTATAGATGTTCTCGTTTCGTAGGTATGTGGAAATTTATGCTAGCCAATATGAAATGACAGGTGAACGACGTCAGGATCAGTACAGGCATTTTATTCAAAACTGAATCTATTTAATTAATTTCAGTAAAACATTTTATTTTATCCAATTATTCAACATTATTCAACCCTAAATGGTTAGCCCGCGCTATTCGCCTTATAAATTATGAACACACTCTTTTAAAGTTTTGCTTATATGTATATCTTAAAGAATCTTTTTTAGATTTTCAATGAAAAAAATCCGGAGCTTCTGATTTTGGTTGCAAATTTGAGACAAAGCTTATATTGTATTAACCGAAGTTCGGACTTGGCAACTGACAACTGGCAAGAACGACGGTTATATTCGCAAAAAATCAAATCATATAGTACAAGTAGCCCGTGAAGTGAATGAAATAATTTATTTACACTTCAGTTTTTAAACCTTACACAACGAGACCGAACAAAAGTAACGAATTTCGTATAATCATCAGCGAGGATAAGCCAATTCTGTTTTCGACGACGGCTTTTTAGTGCCTAGACAATGCCTGATTACTTACTAACTTCGTGTCATCTCTGCAACGCTTTTATAGTCGATACGACATCTCTAAAATTATCGAGAACATTCTTAACAGGTCGAGTAGCTTCGATATGTGTTTCCGCTATCTGACAATAGATGGCATTGTACTTCTCGAGCGTTCTCGATTTTACTAGTTCCTTTGTTATTCGATTCCGCCATTCGACGACAGATGGTGTTGCTCTTACAGGCGTAACCATAATAAGCTTATACAATTTCTAGACATAATAGTTTCTTGGTTCGAGAGTACGTACTACATAGACGACCTTACCCTGCTATAGAGACTTCAACATCATTTCTCCAGGTGAGTCTCAGAGAGCAGTAGAAACTGACGCTATACCAGCCTCTAAAAATCTGCACCACTGTTCTGGCTCGCTCCTGGCGAGCTAGTCACGTTCCAATGCAATTGAGATACATAAAATGCTTAGTCAATAGTTAATCTTTGGGCTTTGCAAGTCTAATAAAAACAGATGGGACCGATTTCGTTCTATGTCGATAAAATAGCGAATTAATCAATTGATCGTAAATTTTTTGTCGTTATGAGATCGAAATGTGTTAAAATCGTAATTAAGATTTTTTATAATTGTGAAAATATGTAAATGTCGATGAAGGCAAATTAAAAGTTGGTCACACTCAAGGTTGTCGTTTTTATGTTTTGCATGTCATAATACTATGTAAAGAGATATCGGAGGTAAGCGTTGGTAAAAGTTTAACTTCAACGCTAATTTTTAATAGCATTATCTTGTGAGTCCGCATGGGTAGGTACCACCACCTATTTCTACCGTGAACCAGTAATGCGTTTTGGTTTGAGCGCGGAAGCCATTGTACTGTTAAAACTGAGACCTTAGAACTCTTGTTTTAAGGTGGGTGGAGGAATTTACGTTGTAGATTTCTATGGGCCCCGATAAACACTTAGCACCAGGTTAGCCGTGAGCTCGTCCACACATATAAGTAATCAAAAATAAAAACGTAGACAAAAAAATGATGTATTAATTGAAAAAACAAAAGTTCAATGAAATGCGAACGCTTAAAAACAGTAGACTAGTACGATAGAAGGGATTATAAGGTATTCTATAAATATTTGGTTCCACAATCGAGGCTTACGCTCATACAAAACAACACAACAACTTGTACGCAAAAACACAAAAAAACCACATAACAACTGTTGCATTACTCTATTTTACCCTATTCGCTGGCAGCCTAAGAAGCTATTCCAGCTACGCCCGGACGGGTAGGTGAGCTCACGGGCCCATTTGCTGACACTAGCCCTAGTAACAGAAGTGCTTCGCAAAATCTACCACCGGATCGAAATCGCGACCCACTGAGAAGATCCGGCGAGAAACTCAGTGGGTGTTTGTCACTGTTAAATAAGTCTACATAGATAATCGATTTGTCAGATTTAATATTTAAATAATTTAATATACTTTGTGATCTTTCATTGTATACCACGTTTTTATTAGTTATTCTTTAAATATTTATTAAAAATACTTGCTTTTATGCAGAATCAAAACAGACATATATTTTCAATTTAAATGTATCTAAATTACTTAAGATACAAAAACTACCTTGACAATACACTTGTAAGTATGGCAACCCTGTGCTGTACGTATTTGGTGAAACTTAATTTAAACGACTTATTTGGTAACTTGCTGTACTTAAGAAACGATAAAAGTCGTCTGAGCGATGGCTTTGAAATTTCCAAACAACTTAAATATATTTATCGCTTTTTAGGCTTTTTGAGTTTTAAAATCAATTTTTATAGAGAATATTCAACAAGACATTTGGATATAAGAATTTTCTTATATTCAAACAAAAATATTATTAATGTATAGCTTCTTCTCCACACGTTATAAGTTAATACTCCCTGTTCTGAGCCTAACTATTATAACTATACAATAAGTTTAAAAAGTTACTGATAGGGTCAGTTTATACACTATGTTTCCCAGTGCCTACCCGAAGGCTACAGGCGCTCTGGGTCATAGTAGAATTCTTTAGAATATTTATAGGTTGATGGAAATTTCAGTGTATGTTTATTGATCACGACTTCCCATCGATAAGGGTTGTTCTCGACCTCGAGACATAAAGAACATCAATACGTGAAGAACAACATTAAACAAAATTATTATTTCCCGAATCCGTATTTTCCGAAATGGTACCATGATACCAAAACGAATCCCTTTATTCCTTTTCTCTGTTGCTACGTCCTAGTCCTTATTACGTGATTAGAGATTAGCACTAGATCTCAATTTACGGTAACATGTTCAGGGAATTATTTTGTGTAACAGTTTCCTTTAAAAATGAATATATTACATGTGGTTACCAAATTATATCATTAAGAACTTGTATATGTATTTAGGCGTCACGATTCTTTTTAACTATTATTTTTTTGACCAGATTCCGTCAGACTTGTTTTGTTTTGGCAGTAAATGCAGGATACATTAACTAAAAATATCATGAAATCTAGAATAACTTGATGTGAATTGATGTGTGTTTAATGATTGCCCATTAAAAAACTTAATGAGTAGGAAAAGTTCAGATGCATTTAAAAAATATCCACGTATCGTAAGATGAAACCTGAAGCCCATTTCAGTATTTAAGTGTCGC